TGAAAGTTACAATCTGACCACTTTCATATTTTCAAGGAGCCAAGACGAAGATTATAAGATGACGGTCTTTGCAACGCTCTAGCAAAAGAGACTACAAATCGATGGTCTCTTCAAATCAAAACGCAGGGTTCATCCCCAGCGTTCAAAGTCAAAACACACGGGTCGGACCTGTGTTGTAACATCAAAACGCACACGTCGAACCAGCGTTATAACCTCAAAACGCGGAGGTCCTCCCCGTGTGTTAGCAACAAAACGCAGAGGTCCTCCCCGTGTGTCAACAACAAAACGCAGGGGTCGAACCTGCGTTGCAACACCAAAACGCGAAGGTCCTCCCCGTATGTCAATATTGAAACGCTAGAGTCGGACCCGCGTTGCAGCATCAAAACACTGGGGTCAGACCCACGTTGCAACATCAAAACGCTGGGGTCAGATCTGCGTTTTTTATGTTTGACTGGTTCAAATAGAACCTGAATAGTTTTAAAACCGTATCTCCACTTAGTGAGGTTGGTTACACCCCATTATGGAGAGATTTTAAGGGGGATTACACCCCTTAAAACCCTTGAACAATTTCAAAACTGTTTCCCATGATTTGAGGGCGGTTACACCCCACTTAGGAGTGATTTAAGGGGCGGTTGCACCCCCTTAATCCCCTATAAAAAACGAGTAAACTCAACTGAGTTAAAGGTGGGAAATCCTTGGCTCGGATTGATCCTTTTTTCAGCAGCGAAGAGGAGATCTTTGGCTTGGTAGCGAGGGGGAGATCGACGTTCATCCTCAGCAACGATCGATCACCGGAGCTTTCTTCTAGCCTTGGCTTATTAACTGATTTTCAGTTCAAATCAACTCTTTCACAGAGTTATTCTAAACTCGTTCAGAGTTCTAAAACTTGCTTTGTAAGTTCTCCATAGCGTCAAACTGTGAGGAGAAGACATCATTCCGGTGAAGCAAAACGTCGGATCGTCAACGGAGAGCAAACTCGACGCGAGCATTCGAGGGAGGCACTCCATCGCCATCGTGAAGAACCCAGTTTTAAACAAAGAGGAGAATCAAATTCGTTCTCCTCTCTTTTGTAATCGAATTGTAATAGAGATTAAAGGAATACAAGTCAATTTTCTTTCAATCCTTTTATTATAAATTTTTCACAAACATCCCTACCCACTTCAAAACCAACCAAACACATGAAAAGTGGAAAATATCAAATCAACAAAAAGTAAATACATTGCTTTCCCACCATATTTTACATGCGAACTAAACCAAAACAATCTTTTTCTTAGAAAAGTTTGGAAAACTCAAAACTTGAGTTTCTTTACATGGAATTGTATTTCCCTATATCTAGGAAACGAACCAAATAGCCCCTTAGTGTAAAGAATGTGATCACCAGATATCTTCTCGTCGTCATCATGTATTGTACGAGAAAATCTAATATTCCATATCCATTAGATTAATGATGCATCGGAGAAATGTATGTCCTCAGACTAGTGCAATATAAGTGGAATTGCAATTAGTGCACTAATCATAGGGTTATTCTTCTCTAACGTATCATTCAATATATAAGAGCCATGAATTAGAACTAGAACTAACACGCTATGAGTTAGAACTAACACGCGGTGAGTTAGAACTAACTAACATGCGGTGAGTTAGAACTAACAATTATTCAACATAACTATGAAATTCTAAGTGAATTCATCTCCTGATGGACCTAATCACAAAACCCCTAGAAACTACTAACTGGGGCTTCCTAAATCCAAATGGAGTTTAAACCCAATGTATGGAGAGTTTGCTTTCATGACTTGAACCTAAGACCTCCAGGTTAAGACGATGAGCATTTCTCTATTTGTTCTTTTACACACATTATACTGGAAAATCAGCTTATCATCTTGCAGCCAATTACGCCCAGCAGTGTTATCAAACAAATAGATGATACATCTGAAAACAAGTAGTATTACCAATCAAAAGCTCTGGTCCTAATTAGACAGATCTGGAGCCAATTCTAATAAAAAACTAATTTCACCTGCTAAACTTCTAACTGACACCCCAATCAAATTACCACACCCACAGGAGGCGGCGACGAACTCGAGGGAGAGGCGGGGAGCAGCGACGAGCTACGGCGACGAGGTCGGGCGGAGGAGAGGAAGGGAGGCTGCGGCGAACTCGTGGGGCGCAGATATAGAGCTCGACATCGTGGTGAAAGGCGTAGTCGCGGGCGGGAGCGGGGCTTGAGAGCTTAAGAGAGAGGAGATAGGGGAGGAGAGAGCATTGGGTTTGAGGGATTAAGGAGAGGAGATAAGGATATTTTTAGAATTTTAGCTTAGGTGGCATGTAATAAATGCTAAAAAGAAGCTGCAGCACAAAATGTCACATTTTAAGGGGCTGAACCACATGGGGGAAAGTTGAAGGGGCTGTAGTACATGATATAAAATTCTTCCTCTCCGATTTTGGGTTTATCTCTACCAACAAACAAGAGACCAGGAGATAGAATATAAAATTCTTCCTCTCCGATTCTGGGTTCATCTCTACCAACAAAAAAGAGACCATGTTACTCCAATAGGTACACGAGTCTAAACTGTTTCCCTACCATCAACAGGAAGTTTCTGGAGAATATTACTCAGAATATTCTTAAGAATAACCTGATTACCTCCCAACGGGTATATGAGGTTAAACTATTTCCCGAACACTCCAATAAAGTATATGAGTATAAACTATCTCTACAATAGCAGTTCTAATTCAAGACTTCGACGACGGTCACGCGATAAACGCAGCACCGGAGGAATTTTAGCTATTCTACAAAGCACTGAATAGGCTAAAAGATGACGAAGTCAAGAGTTGAAGCCATTTATGAGTCCTTCCGTATGATCTACTCAATCAAGCCTTGAAGGAATTGCAGATAAGATCTATCTTATCCAAAGTATCCCAGACTCCTCTATAAAAAAATGAGGCTGGAATACTTTGGAGGGGGTATCTGTAGGCGTCAAAAAATGCTGAAAAGATATCCAAATACAGCTCAAGAGGAAATCATCCAAAAAATTAAAAGAACACTTGCTGTCTCGCATGTGAGACAGCCTTTGCTGTCTCGCCATGCGAGACAGTGTTTTCTGTCTCGCCCGCGAGACAGCCTTCAAAAGATCAGAAACTGTTTTGTAACCGCCGACACGTGGTCACCAACTGTCTTTGCTGTCTCGGAACCCGAGACAGTCTTTGCTGTCTCGGAACCCGAGACAGTCTTTGCTGTCTCGGAACCCGAGACAGTCTTTGCTGTCTCGGAACCCGAGACAGTCTTTGCTGTCTCGGAACCCGAGACAGTCTTTGCTGTCTCGGAACCCGAGACAGTCTTTGCTGTCTCGACCGCCGAGACAGCAAACACTGTCTCGGAAGTGGTTATTCATCCAGGGGTTATAAATCCCCCCCTGTGATCATTTGTTCGGGAGGCGGATCATTTTTGAGCACTTTGGAGCAGAGAGAGCAGAGTTCACGAGCTTCTGGCAATTCCTTGAGATTCGAGCTTTGACTTGATCTTAAGAAGAACGACTATCTTACTTTGATAAGATATCGTTTCAAATTCTCACTTCGATAAACGAAGAAAGAATCACTTAACCCCTCACGATTCAATCAGAATCTGTGATTTGGTGGTCCACGAGTCAAAGCGCTCCCGGCACAGGCAAAGATCCTACGCAAGCAGCGATCCAAACAACGATCCTGCGTTTGTTTCTAAGAAGTTGTAATTTTCATTTTGTTGTGTAAAAGAAGTCTTATAAAAAGACTATTTCTTTTGAATTTGTTGTAATCGACCGAAGATATAATGAATTCCACAACGAGAGCAATTTTTGACGAAAACACTAAGGTGACACCCTAGGCTCCCACCTAAGGACGCAGCCTAAAATCATATCATTTCCTAATTTTTTTTATGATCCGCTCCGTTGAACTTGATCTGCACGTTCTTAAACCCAAACGCACCAATTTTGGGGTGAACCCGTCGTGTTTTGACCCTTTATCCACTCACTATAATTTTAACGGTTTCGAATGAATAGAACTTCTTACACGACTCAAAGAATGGTTAAAACACAACGGGTTCACCCCAAAATTGGTGTGTTTGGGTTTAAGAACGTGTAGATCAAGTTCAACGGAGCGGATCACAAAAAAAATTTAGGAAATGATATGATTCTAGGCCGCGTCAAGCAATAGTGCCAACATTCTAGCTACATAAACCCAACACAACTTATCATTAATATTCATCATCAAATTACGCAATGCACTTTGAAAAGTGCTTCATAATAATCAAGAACAAAAAACCCAAACAGGACATATACTCTCATAAATTGCTCTCTCAATATAATAAAAAGTTATATTCTTAGCAACATACGAATACAAAACATGTAGGTTACGTTTCAACCAATTTTGCATTTTTGAATTTAAAACAAAGCAAATAAGGCATAAAGAGCAATCTATTAAACCCATAGGTACCGTTTGGCAAAGGGTTAAGTGAGGGGTTAAGGAGACTTAACCCCTTCTTAACCTGCCAAACACAACAAATCTATATAAGGGTTAAAGTGAGTTAACCCTCCATAATTTGCCAAACATAAAAAATATAGAAGAGTTAAGTTAACCCCTCTAGAGGGGTTAAAATGAGTTAACCCCTCAAAATGATGGGTTTACTAATACTCTTATTTAGATGGAATAAGAGTTAACCCTTCTAATTATAAAGAAAATAGTAAAAATCATTGTTATTCCCAAACACTAAAACTGATTATAAGGGCTAAAATAAAACTTATTTAACGGGTTAATAATTTAGTCCTTCGGATTATTAAATGGGCTAAGTACATTAATCCTTCTTTTTAACTCATCTTCATTAACCCTTTGCCAAACAGGGCCTATACGTGTATTACGGTAGGTCCAAAATTCAAATTTTCTCCTGTATTCAATTGATGTTTGCTTCTGATAAAAAGGATACACATGTCAATGATCCACAACCCCAAGTTCTACAACTAGAAAATTAAAAGATTAAATAATATCATCCAAGGGCACCCACAAATATTGTTTTATTCATGATTTTCCAAAAAACACTAGGCCCTCAAAGGCCTCAAAAGTCTTTTTTAACACATCGAAAAATGGGGGCAAACTCTCTGTGCGAGTGCTCTGGCACCCCCCACAAAATGCTCACATGCACCATGTAAGCAGCCAATGCGTACATGACACAAATAATAAAAACCCTAAACAATCCTAAACCCAAAAAAAAAATAAAAAAAATACACAAATATTCGACATTAATCTTCAACATCACTTTAATGAGAAGAGGAGCAGAGTTGTAGCTTGACCCACTTAAAATAATCTTTATTTACTACCCATTTTCTATCTCTCATCTGAGATCGAGCTCAAAAAGGCCCACCCGCTCGATCCCTTTCATTCCGCAATGAATGAATACCGCGCCTTTGAGCCCCCACCACCTTCACAAGCAAACACCATTTCCTTCTCACACTTATTAAAGAATGGCAGATCCCCCACCCTTGGGAATCTGCAGGTCCTGCTGAAAATCATGGCACTAATAAATAAATAAACAAGCCCCACACATGATATTAAAAAAAAATTTAAAGGAAAAAAAAAAACTCATCCACCAAGACCCCTTCCTGTGGATAAATGACACTTGGTCAAATCAACTTCAAACCCCCCTTAAAAATATTGAGGAATCTGCAAAACCCAATTAAGTAACGCCTGCTAATCTAGTACAGCTAGCTCAACCCTTTCCCTTATTCTCTCCGTGCCATCAGCCCTCCTTGTCACCATCCACCGATAGGAAGCTACTGTTCAATTTCCTCCTCTTGCCGAGGGGAAGCTGAAGAGAGGAGGAGGAAGAGGAAGCATCAGAGCTTGTGGCGTCCACTGTCGTCGCCACTCTCATCAGAGGCCCTTTCTCCTTATTCTCCATTATAGATTCTTGCATGAGGTGGTAACAATTGGTGATCCCTTCCTACAGTAGGAAAAAACAAGAAGAAACTGAAAAAATAATATTCCAACAGAGACGACAACACGCGACTAGGCTAGGTGTGCGTATGTGACGTCACCCTTATCAGTCACGCCAGTTTCCAATGGTTTTTAATAAATACATCACAAACTGTCTATCCTTGATCAATACAAAGAAGCCTGGAAAATTGACGCAATGATACGCAAGATTGTGTCCATTTCGATGCACCAGCTATTCAGCCAACAGGGACCACAGAATACTTAATTTTCTGTGGTCTATAAATATTAAAAGCTATCCTATTGTTCGTGTAGATTAAAGTCGCTTAACTCTCAAGTAGCATCGATACTTAATATTCCTCAGACCCATAAAAGGTATAGGTATGCGATATTAATGTGCAAGAAAATTCCTATAAAAAATGTGCAAGATAAACATGACATGCTGCAAAAGTGCAATTAATTAATTTTGTGAATCTAACCTTGGTTAGTCCAATGCACCATGATGTTGCTGAACCTGGGTCGATAAGGGCCAATTCAGGGTTCTCACCAGCTGCAGATATTATGGCGGATGCAGCTATGGACGAAGGACAATGATCCAGGAATTCAATGTCTGCAGTAACGTCACATGAACACATCAGAACACTAACTTAGTATCAGTATCTATCGATTTTGATCGATGTTGACACACGTATACGTGAAAATAACATAAATTACCATGAATTGTTGCTAGGACAATCTTAGTAGCATGAGAAACCAAGTTTCTGGCGCAAGTTCCACTAGGATCGGCCTTGTAGGCAAAGAAATCAATGAAAGTAAAAGGTGTAATGGATCGAAGCCTCCATTTCAGCGCGGCAAGCACGAGAAGTTCCATCTTGCAAACTATTCTTGGCTCAAAGATGAACCTTGCAGTACCCTCAACCTAAAAAAATCAATGTGTATCGCGCAATCGTTCGTTGGTCATCACGAAAGTTAACTAATTAATGATTGTTGTATAGTTATGATCTCTTTTAGAAAATTAATGGTGCATGTGTAGACATACATACTTGAAGATCAATGAGGGAGGGGACTGAGGTTTCCTCCATTTTTGCTGCTAGAGAGAGACAAGCTACGGATAAGAGCGGTAATGCCCATCCCTCTGCTTCCTAAATTAACAGTATAATCATAGAGATAAATCAACACAGGATAGAAAATAGTAATAAATAAAATAAATCACTTAACAGATCACTGGCTACTGATAAATAAGGGTGAATTTGAACACACATGTTCGGGAGATGACTAGATTACGAAATTTTATTCAGAAAAAAAATATTAATAAATAAACTAGTGAGGATGGGGAAGGAGCTACAATGTAGTAACAGTACGTTTTGCTAAGTAATCTAGCAAGGTCCGCGTAAGTGATGTCTCTGATGCATCCCTTCATGCTCTTTGGCTGGTCTGTTACTAACGCGACGCAAATCCAAAACTCATATTCAGATGGGAAAGGAGCTACAATGTAATAACAGTTTTGCTAAATAATCTAACAAGGTCCGCGTAAGTGATGTCTGATGCATCCCTCCATGCTCTTTGACTGGTCTGTTATTAACGCGATGCAATCCAAAACTCATATTCGGATCATCACCAACATATGTAGATTATAACGGACACTACGAATATCTGCCATGTGAGGGACGTCGCACCAGTCCTCATTTACCATGAGTATAAACAAGAGATGGCATGGCATTCCTTCTCCTCTGCTGGTGTAATGGTTGCGTGGCATACACTAGCTAGAAAACCATTTTTAGGTGTGGGACCCCAGAAGCATAAACTTTTTAATTTACGTTGATATTTAATTAGCATTTTGGGAAAGTCGAGCTCTAGTGAGAAAAATAATATGAGACATATCATATCCAGCGATTCAATTAATTATTAATAACATATACTTCGGGTACTCTTAACTATAATTGTATAATAATCATATTGGGGTGTGGGGAGCCCAGAAGCATTGCACGTGAAGTGCATGTACGTAGCCAAAGCTAGAATGGGAATAAACAACTTTTTACAGTTTTTTTAAAGGGGTGTCATTAGGGGCACACCCCTAACCATAACCTCAACCACAACCCCTCTATCATTTGCTACAGTGTATCAGACCCCATATGAGATTTTAAGAATTTAAAATCCAATGTGGGGTCTGGTACACCGTAACAAATGAGAGAGGGAGTATGATTGAGGTTGTGGTTGGGGGTGTGCCCCTATAATTTTCCTTTTTAAAGGCATTGACATACTGTCTCCGCACACTCAAAAAATTAAATAATAAAAAAGCTAATAAAAAAAAAAGTCCGGCTTTTATTCACAAAGGAAAAAAGGGTTGAAAGGTCAAAAACGAAATTATGTCCGACCGTAAAACTTAAAAAAGTTTCGAGGGCGCAAGACGAAAATTTTACCAAAGAAATCAAGGGCCCCGCCGTTACTGACAAGTAAGTAAGATAAGAAACGATGACGGCAGATTAACGTACCGGTACGTGATGCGCGGACAGAAACCGGTCGAAGTAATTAACGGCGAGATACGCCGTTAACGGCTGAAAGCGGAAAAAAGCACGCACCTGAAAAGGAAAAAAAAGTTACAATTAACCTATTTTTTTTAAATATAGGGCAACTCACAATAAACCCCCTTAACGTGTAGTTTATTTGCAAGAGCTCAGCTAAAATTGGTTGGTCCGCAGTCACAGGCTTACGGGGGCTTTGGACGAACTCTTTTTAAGTGTAAAGGGGTTTCGTGGTAAAAATAATAACAACCCAAAAAAAATAACAACAGCAGTAGACGACGAGGCGCAAGCTAGCCAGAACAGGTAGCGGTAATCTAACGTGCACCCCCACCTTGAGAATCCAAAGGACCGACTCCTCGCGAGCCAGAAGATCGAGCGACTTGGACCGGAACCTCGCGCGGTAGTCGAACCCCGGCGAGTAATCGGACTCCCCCTCCAAAAACTCGGCGATCGATTCGTTCGAGTCGTCGGGAAACGCTCCGGCGGTCTGGTACCCCGCAGGGTATTCTCCGTCGCAGTCGTCGGTGAGCGCCCCCGCGTCTTCAGCGCAGAGCAGGTCGAAGGTGGGGCCGGGTTCGTCGGGCACGATGTTGAGCGGCATCGCGGTGCTGGTGTATCATCTGTTACTCATCCCCGCGGAGCAGCAGAACGTGGGGGATCGAGGGTGAGAGGAGAGCGCGTATAGGAAATAAATAAATAAAATGAGAGTTTTTGTGGGAGGAGCGTGGCTTTGAGGTGGAGATGTATATAAGATATATAGTTGGATAAAACTAAACCCAGGGCTCTGGGATTATTATTAGTAGGTGGTATTTTCTGTCGTTTTGTTTTTTATGCTGGGGTTTTGTTCGTTTTTAGACTATGTCGTGGCTTTTGGTGGAAAATATATTTTTGTTTTTGTTGCTGGGTTTCTTTTTCTTTTTTTCTTTTTTTCAAGTAGACCCCTCTGCGTTTTTAATTATCCTCTGAATGTGGCCATTTCTCATTTTAATTGCAATGTGAACCTTGCTCTTAGAGAGCCACTTGATCTTAAAGGGCGCCGTTTGGCGAGGGATTTAGGGGGGAGAAGTGTTGAGGAGAATGATTAGTTTAGCTAATCCTTTTATAAGTATTTTTAAAAATTACTTAATTTCGTTTACATTTTGATAATCAAGACCAAGCGTCGATAGACTTTTGTGGCTGTCAAATAAAGAAGAGTTAAGGAGGTTAGTTACCATAAATATTCTATACACTCTATGTTATATAAAAAAGGAGCAAATGTACACCCTTACCTGTGAAAAAATGCGTTGGTTGCTACCTTCTCTTAACCGGTCGTGAGAATATTCTCACGTGCTGTTCTCATGTCTATTTTGAATGACATCTGCCATCATTGATTGTATTAAATATAACTTTACCTACAGCAAGGGTTATTTTCGATGAAGAACAATCTCGTCCTTCTAGATTTTAACGGTGTTTACCAAGTTTAGACGGCGGACAACCTAGGGAATTCTTTTGCTCCGTTTTGTAACTTAGGGTATCTAGTTTTTTCCCCATTCACGATAGAGTATCTAAGTGCAATTTAAGAAGCCTGCATATGAATGGCCCTTCGGCTTTTTCATGGGTAAGGGGTTACTACTTACTAGGCTTTTATTAAAAAAAAGGCTATTGGGGTTATTGTTTGGGTTAGATGCAAATGGGCAATTTGTTGGAAGTCGGACTGCTTTCAAAGAAACATTTAGCACTACAAAATCTTTAACCCTAGTTTTATTCTACCCACATTGAAAGGCCCAAATAAGTTTTCGGCCTAACGGTGCTCGTACCGTCTAACCCATGTCCACTTATGGGCTTAGATCAGTAAGCTCTTTTGGGCCGCTGCACTTTTTCTCAATCCATACTTATGGACTGGGCTTGCAGTCCCTTTTGGTAAATTCAGACGTCAAAACAAAGGACTAAAATACTTGCATTGTTTTTTTTTAATTGCAGTTATTTTTACCTTTTTTAACACATTGGTATTTTTTATTACTCAGGCGACAGTTTGATATTTTATGTTGGTCCTAATTGTAAATAGGCCCACAAGTTGGTCACTGGAGCACATGGAAATTTTTTGTATAGTTTATATGTTATAAACTCCATTAGTATAAGTTGCAACTGGGTCGATTCTGGTAATATAGTTTCTAAAATGGTGTGTGTGTATTGGTGATTTTCTTAAAGGCAAAAAAAACTGGCATGCACCGTCTAAATGTATGACATGTGTCATAACAAAAATTTCCATGTGTTCCTCTAACCTATCAGAAGATGACATATAGACACATAATGTTATTTTTATCTAACTAGTATAATGCGAATGTTTTGCATGTGAACTTACATCTTTTAAGTTTTGAAATTTTTATTTTGAATAGTAAAACTATATGTTAATAAATAAAATTGTATAATAAGATGGCTTGAAAAGAAATGCATGAATTAATTATTATTGTGTAGCTAATGTTAATCTTTTTTAAATAAGTCTCTAAATCTAAATTCTTAAATAAAGATGTAAATTCTATACGTTCTCTTAAATATATCACTCTGACTTAAAATTTATTAACTGAACTCTAAATTAACTAACCTGTATTAATATTGCTAGCTTTTTCCTGATGTTTTCTAGATAGTTACACTTGATACCTACAACATATTGTAATAGTTACTTCTCATTATAATTATTTAATAGGGTAAATTACATTAAATCCTTGTGAACTTTCAACCCATATGAATTTTCAAAATTACACTAAAACCCTAATGGCTTTTCTGTTTCAAAGAGGGCCCCTAATAAATTTCTAAATTTTGCAATAACCCTTATAAATTAGAACCAGAAAATAACCAAAAAATGACATAAAAAGGTATTTTGAAAGTTGTTGGGGTGTAATTTATATAAAAGATATTTGGGTATTTCTACAAAAGTTATTAGAGGTTTAGTGTGATTTTGAAAGTTCATAGGGTCCATTTACTGTAAAATACTAAAAGTTCATAAGGGCTTACTGCAATTTACCTTATTTAACATTATAATTCTTAGTTCAAATAATACTATTAATATAATTATATTGTCTATATACTATTAATATAAATTTTTAACTATGCTCTCAAATAATTTAGTACTATAAATATTTTAAAAAAATTATTGCGCTATCATTAACAATTAATAGTACTATTATTAATATTAAATAATTTCTTTGTAAAAAAGGTAGTTTTCAATCATTACCAAGTATAGATTATTCAATATCATGTAATAATATTTAAGAAAATAATCTAAAAATAATATTAAATTATCTATTTAATAATATAATACTAACTAAATAGTGTAATTCATAATTTACCTGCTATTATTAAAATAATTACACTATTTATGTTATTCAAAATTTATATCTATTTATTTATTGCTCATTGAATTATAGTATAATTCTTAATAGTATTTAGTAATATATTGTTCTTTTTATACTATTATTTTAATTATTTTATTATAATTTATAAATAATTATTATAATAATTTATAAATAATTATTATAATAATTTAATTTGTCTACTTCTAATAATTATGTATTACTTATTTTATAAATTATTTTATTTCATAATTTTTTAAATAATTAAAAGTTATATATTTTTAAATAATTATAATTATTTAGGAAGATGAGGATGTGCATAATTAATAAAAGTTTATATTTATTTAATGGAAGATTAATTAGAGATAATGACATAGTTAAAATATATCAAAATTTGAGAGAACAAAAAAAAATTTAACACCCCATCTTCTTTTTAAAGTAGTATAGATATAGATTAAAATTTCTCATCAAATTAAAACTATTCGTAATTAGAAAAATCTAATAATTAAATATTTGTAATCCTAATCAAATCCCTCCTTTATATATAAAGAGAAATTGGCGGAACTCCTAAATGCATAAAATGTTGACATATGTCATATCATAAAGGTAAAACATTTGACATGTGTCATATCATAAATACTCACGTATCTCTCTATCCTATCAAAAAATGATATACGAACACATAATTTTTTGGTAATCCTAATCAAATCCCTTCTTTATATTTAAAGAAAAATTAGTGGAATTCCTAAATGCGTAAAAAATTGACATGTGTTATATATAAAGACACAAAAAATCAATATGTATTATATCATAAGTACCCACGTAACTCTCTATCCTATCAGAAGATGACGTATGGACATATAATTTTACACTCGCGTTAGAATTTGAAGGGGAGTAAATAATACCTAAGTTGTAAGTGCACAACTATCAAATTATAGTATAGAAAAACATTGAATCCCGCGAAAAATCTGTTGTATGTAATAATCAAAATTACTTCTTAAGTTGTGTGTGTCACAATTAGGAGTGATAGAAGTGATTTTTGAGAGATAAAGACAGTGGTTGTGACTATATGCAAATAAAAAATAAAACTAGATTAAGAGGGGAGAAATAAAGATGGAGAAAAGGAAAATAAAATCAAAAAGTAAATAAAAATCAAGAATAAGAAGGAAAATCTATAAAGTAAAAGATGGATGATTCTATTAGAGATATGAGGAATCTAGAATTGAATCCACTAGCGAATTTCACTTATAAATTATGAACTATTCTCTTTTTTATCACATTTTATTTTAGATTTTTAAGCATAGATTATCAAACCATTTAAAGAAAGCATAACATGTCATATTATCATCCAAGCAAAATTAACATTTATGAAAAAAGAAATAACTAGATATAAATTCTAGAATTCATAAGCATAATCTATCAAATCACTCAAGGTAAGCATAGGTTATTAAATTTTTCTTCTGTCAATTAGTTCTCTAGTTGATTGTTCTAAACACGATCATTTTAAGCACAAGAGAATAATGCACAAATTATAAAAAAAAATCAAACTAGTTTCATACAATTCTAGAATTCCTATAAGAATTAGTTATGTAAAAATAAAGACATGCAAGTAAATCTACTCTACAATGCATAAAAAAATATAAAACAAGAGGATCTAGCCCATTGAATATCTAAAATAAGGGAAAAATATTACAAGAAAATAAAAGATAAAAGGGAAATTTTACATTCAAGAGGATTCTAGCCATTTAAAAGCTAACTTTCATCTTTATCTTCATCATCAAATATAAAAGAGAAGAAAATATATATATATATAAAGATGTGAAAAACAAATTTATTAATTGCAACGAAGTTATAATTTTTGGAAGGTCTTTCAATTAAGAATAACGACCCTCTCCAGACAGAGTTTTTACGAAAATTTTCTCACTCAAACTCCTCACTCTCTATCCTTATTTACAGCCAACAACAATGAATGAGAACCTTTTGGATATCGCTTAGAGATCAATTGTTAAATCTCCGCCAAAAATTTATTTCTTTTGCAAACCAATTGATTGACCGGTCAATCGATTGGCCAACTGATTAGTTTGTAACATATTTGGATCTTTGTTGATTTCTTGACCTGATTTCTTTATGGATCATTGAGCTTTCTTTGACCTTATTTTGTCTTCATATTTGAGCTTCAATAAATGGTAAAAAATCAAGGAGTTTGATTTTTTAGGGTTTTTATTCATTAATTCTTCATTAATCTGTAAATTGAAATAAAACATATTATTAGTGGTATATTTATTTAAATAAGATAGATAATAAGGGTATAAAATTATAATAAAATCGTAATTATCAAATAACCCCACACCTAAACTTTTGCTAGCCCTCTAGCAAAGCAGAAATTGAAAGGGAAAGAAAAAAATCGTAACTCACTTTCGTTGGAATTATAGTTGTACTTAGTGC